TTCAAATTGTCAACCTGAATGTTTATTATCCGGCTTTTGAAAAAAAGCAACATTTTCAATTTGAAGCTTTAATATGTACTGTTGAATGTGGATTTTTATCGACTTTAACTATAGGAGGCATGGCACATGGTTTACTGTTAATTGCTTTAGTAATAGGTGTTTCTTACAGAGAGTTTGAAGAACTTTCTTCGAAGTTCTGCATAATAAGAAGCAGTGACAGGAATCTAAGAAAAAAATTACAAGATTTGATGATCTGTCACCAAGAATTGTGGACTTTTATAAATCAGTTGAATACAAAATTTGGTATGATTTTGAAAGTTATTTATTTCGGAATAATTTGGGGAACGAGCTTTTCGTATTACGCTTACTTGTATATTCATATGCATGGGATTTTAAGAATTTGGATATTCTTGCTGATGATTGCTCTTTCGTTTGTCTGCATTATATGGGGCTGTTTTCTATGCTGCATTGCTTTCATGGTATTTATTATTATTACTATTATTATTACTTTAAAACATTTTAAATATTTTAATTGTATTTGTTTTAATATTTTAGATGCAAAACGGATTTCAAGACATTCGGCAATTTGCAACTTGCGATTTGAAATTGCCACAAAAACTAAAAGTTATTTCGTGATTTTATTGTTACTATAAATTATATTTGATTAATAAATTTAATATTGAGTATAAATTCTTTGTCAGGTATTGGATTTTATGAAAAGATTTGGAAAAGTCTCCTTGTGTCTGTCCATTGGTTTCTGCTACGTGGATAAGAGGATCCCTCTGAAGGTAGTTACGTTTTTATTTACAATTCTGAGCAAAATTATAAAAGAGGTTGAGGCAGACGTTTTAAACGTGTAAACGTGTAGGTCGGACGTTCGGCGCCGCTTTCCCGTAAGCCTAAAAGTTTGACAATAGTGTTTGGATAGTCGGTGGAATCACGCTCGACATTTCAAACACCATCGTCAAACTTCTAGGCTTAGGGGAAAGCGGCGCCAAACGCCCGACCTACACGTTTACACGTTTAAAACGTCTGCCCCAACCTCTCTATTGTTACGCTCTTTAACTGTTTTTTGTATCTAGGTCCATATTAATAAGAATTTTATATATTTTCACTGGTAGATGGCTTCAACTCTACACTCCGGGTTCTCGGGTTTATTAAAGTTGAAGAATGCAGCAAGTTCTCATAGAAGCTGTCGGCAGACGTTCACTAACTTCTCCGATTGAAGAGAAAACAATCGAACTTTAGTCACGTGTATCACAACGGGAATAACGTGTAGGCCTATATCACAGATTTACCAGCGATTATCGCAGTTCAATTAAATTTATTCTGTTATTTGTTACAAGTAGTTTGAAATTAATTGTTCTTTGTATTGTTTTCGTAATCACATGATTTTAAGTTTACTTAGTAGATACATTTAAATTAAGGAATGTTGTTGTACTTTTTAACGTATCTTAATTATTTGGAATATGCGATTACATGTTATATTGAATCAGAAGGATAAATAGTACAATTTATAGTAATTATATTTGTAAATATTGAGAAGTTAAATTATTTTAAGCAAAAGAAAAGACCAAGATCACGATTAAACATAAAATAGCACAAATTATTAGTAACACGTATTAAAATACATTTAAAGGAACTTTATGTCATACATAAAATTGCAAGTATTAATGTTTATATTTGTAATATTAAAATTTCATTTTATAGACTAACGTCTTACGTTTAGAAAATATATAAATCTTTTGTGATGAAGTGGAAAATTCTCGATTTGTTTAGTATAAAATCAAGCAACTGAGACCGCAACTTTCGAAAATTAAATGTAAAATAATAAATAAATATTTAATATTTATCGAAAACATACCCGAAAAGTAAATCTATAAATGTTTTGAATAAAAAGATTGAAATATAAACTGTTGTTTGAAATATTTAGCTTCATCTCACAGAAAAACAGAACGTTAAATTTATTTCTGTAACATAATTCGGAATGACAATAAACCAAATTAATTTATTTTAAACCAGCAGATAAG